GGCAAAAAATGCTACCGACATCGGTAGATCTCTCATTTTTAGTCTAGAAGCGCAGAATGATCTTGTCATCAAGTTGGTCATGTGCATGGCCAACGCAGCATTGTACTTATACTTGAACGGGACCAGATATCTCACTTCATCGTGAAACGATAAGCAGAATCTAGCGTTATCTCTCATCAGCCATCTCATGGAAACCAGCATCAGATGAAGGAAATCTACCGCGCCACTTTGCACAACCCAATTAATTTTGGTGGGCAAAAATTTATCATCGGTATTGGTGATCTCCAGGGCGCGGCTCAATCTGGCATTAAGGAACGGCGTGACTGGATATTCACTGCCAGCGATCTGTTCTAATCGGTTGAACATGGCTGATTCTGAGCCGCCCATCCATTCACTCTTCAGAAAGATGTCCTGTAATGCTTTGCCATGCAATTTCGCTATCTTATATGCTTGAGAGGATGTGTAGGCAATATCTTGCAAGTCATCATTAACGAATTCACTCTTCAACCGAAATATCTTCTTACCCTTTGTAAGAGCAAACATCTTGCGTGATTTAGAAATAGCTTCGGCGTCCGTCATAGATGGATTGAATTGCTTCAGCAGCCGTTCGGCGAACTTCTGACCGGCACCGTAGATTCGAGCGTAGTTGATAACTTTGGCGTGGTCACGCGAGATGCCGATGGCCTTGGCGGTGACGCTGTGCATGTCGGTGCCGTTAGACTTGGTGCCAATGAGAGTCATCCAGCCGAAAGGCGTCGCTCCGTGAATACGCTTGTAATGTGCATCTCCGATGATTGAGGCGATCCACAATTCCTGGCTGTCTACGTCAGCACCGACAATGTTGTATCCTGGCGGCGCTTGCACCATACATCTGAGCTCGGAACCAATTCGTTCTATATGTGCATTTGACGCCGTCATCCACGTGGGCTCTACAGCGCGACGTGTTAAAGTACCGGAAACGACTACCTGAGGTATTATCGCGCCATAACGCATGTATCGCTTCGTTCTCTTGACGTTGCCAGGCAGAGAGTGATCGTCCAGCCATATCACCAGTTGCGACATAATCCTGTCGCGATTATTCCGCCAGTAGGACAGCATACGGGCAATCTTCAGCACCTCCGCGGCGCTGACATCCAATCCGGCGAGTACATTCTCGGAGAACTTGTTAAGAAAGTCCTTAGCGAGCGGATTTCCGACGTTGAAATTGGCACCATCTTTGTGCGGCAGCTTGAAGAAATAGCAGCAGTTGTCGATATCGATGTTGCACCACACACTGGTGCCCTTATATATATCACAGTATGACTTGTCTTGCTTCTTCTTAAATCGCCAGAATTCCGTCTTGTAAAGATCGTTTTGCACGTCGGTGTTCAAGGTAGCCATCGAGTCATTGGAACTGTCCCTGGACGGACTGAGCGCTGGCAAAGGACACTGCGCCAAAAGATTCTCCAATGGCAGTTTAGTCTCAATGTCGGAATCGTTCCTGTAAGGTACCAGAATTCCCCAACCGTGGTCCTTTATATAATGCAACGGATATTTCTCCCATGTCAGATTCAACAGCTTCGGAACCACTTGCATGGAAGTGCTAATATTCTGTGGACCTGGTTCCCAATCTTTGTCTACGCTTTGCTTAGGACAGAGTTTCCTGTACCACGCCGGATATCCTGGCATGTGCGGCATTTTAGCTGGCAATAAATGCCTGGTTTTCTCCAAATATGCAAATTCCTTTGCTAGAGGATCCTCCTCTTCTTCTTCATCATCTGATAAATATTTAGCGTCTGACTGTTTTGCTTTTTCTACTATATTTGTCTCTACGTTAACAGCCTTTACTTTTGAGATTTTGCTTTTCATCTTAATGTTCTGTGTGCTCCAATCTTGGTCCCACATCCATAAGTCTTCCTTATATTTCTTATCGTGCATGAGATGACAAACAGCATCGGCTCTCTTGGCGAGAGTGAATTTCGCTTCGTAATTTAAGTCGTCAAAGGTCGATTCTGATTCCTCCAAGTATCTTTGCCAATTGGAATTCACTGGCAAGTATGCTGAGCTGAGTTCCAAAAGAGTGGGAATAATTTGCGTAGTATATTATGAGTAGCAACTACATCGGAGGCGCAGTAAGACATCAACATACTGAAATTATCTTTAATGTCTTCAATAGTACCTTTGACAAATAAATCTCTTCCCTCTTTATTTATCTCGTAGCCACAGTATAGCTTATGCACTTCTACCAAACTGTTCAATGAAGTGGTAGACTGCCAGATCTCCTTCTCCATGTTTGCTTTCTTAGATATTAATAGCGATCTTTGGTAGCTGTTGAGACCACTGACACATATATGTAACGACATAGTGTCAAGGAAACGAGTCCCTGTGGAATTCAACCAATACTGCTCCTTAATTCTACTTCTGTCATACGATACATTGTGACCTACAATAATTTTTGGTTTTTTCTGATGCTGGTTCAGTCTATGTCCATATTCCTCTTTGCTACTCTCCATAGGAATGAGCATACTTGGCGTGAACAACTGTGTGTCAAATGTTTGATTAATACTTTGTACCAAGGAATTTGATACCCAACTGTACCAGGCTTTATCACTGACCGCAGTGGCTAGAGTAGGCAAAGGACCCTGCTTCATGCAGACCTCAATGTCAAAAATTACACCATCTTCTAAAGGGTAATCTATGCTTTCTACTGTACCATCTGCTGTATATCTAGTCCAGCCTTCTTTGAAGAGCCATTGTGTTGGCATTTTGGGAATATCGTTCATAATATCATTTATGATTTTTAAATACGGTTTAGCTTGTGCTTTTCCAATATTATAAAAATGTTCCTCTATATCTTTTCCTTCCAAAGCCGGTAATTTTAAGTTTACGTCTGGCAACCTGGTTGCATCTTCTACGTTTATACCGTGTGTGATTAAATTTTTCTTTATGCTATCGACTTCTTTCTCAGACAGGGAGTTTTCTTTATCATTTTTTCTGAACAATTGCTGGTGCAATGCCTTGGGTAACATTTGCATATTTATTTCGTTAACTTGAATATTATCATTCTTTGAATTCGCATTTGAATTAATATTTGAACTATTTTCTGATTCCCTTAATTCTTGAGATTCATTTTGTTGATCTAATTCAGTTATTTGCGTGTTTATATCATGAATGTTTGTACTTTGATTGTTAGAGTCTATACCTAAATTTATATTCTGCTCTGTTATCGATTTCTTTGATATTTGTATGTTAACGTTCGACTTACTTGGCACTTTCTCAGACTTTGCGAATAATTTGTGGTAGCCTATCTTAAAATTGACGGGTATTGCAAGCGAATTATGAACAGAATTTGTGGTTAATTTGTCATTCTTAGAGGTTAGATTCTCTCGGTTGGTTTTTTGGGAGTTATTCAGACGAACCCTCTTCCACTGAATTCTGGGAAGATGAATGCCATCCTGCGCGTTGTTGCATTTGTGCCGAATGCAAATGTTAATCAAGCGAGTCCTCAGTCTCATCTTTACCATCTCTCCGTTCAATATCACGCGGCTATAACGAGACATGTGCTTCGACAGCCGGGGCTGTCGAAACACCATGCGCATTACGAAGGAATCTCTGAATTTTCAATTAAAAAATAACGAAATCTTACCTGATTGCGCTGAATTAAGCAAATTGCGTTTTCTCTGAGAGATTAATAATTCGATAAATTTCGCAAAATTGTATTTTGGCGAAGTAAACATCAATATACATTCGAGACTCGAAAAATGCTTTGGTGCTTCTCGTCTGAAATTAGGCGTTTCTAGGCAGGTTTACCATCCTATTTGTCATCATAGCTATCCTATTCCAATTCTGTGGCCTAACTTCAAATGGAAAATACGTCGTTATACTGCTTTCTCATCATTTAATTTAGCTAACGGAATAATAACTTCTTTTCTCCTTTCGGAAAGGAATTACAAATTCCATAAAATTATATTTCGATAAAACAAGTGTCGAAAAACTAGTGCATCATGTGCACTGAAGTGCACCTCGTATCTAATGGTAGGCACTTTTAGGCGACGTCCTTAGATTGGCCATCCTGTTCCTGCTCATAAGGGCTGGGTTCAGGGAGCGCGCTATCAACGCTATTTGTGTCATGCTGTTCTTGTTTCACGTCTAGTGGACGATGAAGATAGAAGACACAAATAGCGCTAATAGCGTCTCCCCGAACGCAACCAAGGCCTGTTCTTTTTGGTTGAACTTTTGCACTAGTTCATCTTTCTTCCTTTTCTCTCCAGGAGGAAAGAAGAGAAAGAAAGATGAACTAGTGCAAAAGTTCAGCCAAAAAGAACAGGCCTCTAAAAAAAAACCCGCCATATTGCACTCTCGATCACGCGATTTTGAAAATCAATAGCGGACGTGCCTCTTGCTTTCTATTTTTAATTACAACTTTCTCTGCCATAATTGTATGAATAATGAAATGAATACATAAACATATTAATTAGCTAATTAGTAGTATCCATAGTTCGTTGAGAAAACCAAATCGCGACAGACCAAGCATAAAAGCTTTCATGGCATATAATAAATTTAAAAAATATAATTCACACAAATATATATGAATTTATTTTTTCTATATATATATATAATAAAACTTTATATATATAGCCATCTATGTATATTTTTCATTTATCGAGCATACAGTGCTTTTATTTGCATTGTTATATGTTATATCTATTGGTTATCGGCATCACATTATTAAGTTTTAAAAAGTTCTTCAGAAACAAAGAATAATTTACAGCAAACGCGGTAAATTAATTTTTAAGCTAAATCTTTAAATAATGGTTAAGAAAATGCCTAATAATATTTTTAGCCAACGCTGTATATAATTAATATTAATAATATATATGTATTATATACATATATAAAATAAATATAATATAAAAATGTAAAAGATAAATTATATATAAATATATATATATAGGTATGTGTTCGAAAATCTACGCGTATACATCGATTCTCGTATCGTGACTGCGACGACATCTCGGCGTCTGTCAGTTTATTGTGTTCATCATGGCTTCGACGGGTTAGTAATCGTCGCGAGAATGCTGCTTAATTTTACGTTTTAATTTATTTACAGCATGACGAGACGACGAAATGGGTTACAGGCGAGAGATCGTTTGTCTCACGCTTCGCGAGATTGCGGTCACTCGTCGTGCCGGCGTGATTTACTCTCACGTTTTTGCTCGCGTTCATCACTCTGGCTTGGCCCGTCGCCGCTGTTTACATACGTCGCGAATGTTTCAGGATGTGTCCGCGAATTACTGACTGCTCCTTTCTTGTTTCCAGAATCTCTGGTGTGCGACACCCTCGACCTGAGCGGCCAAGGCCTCAAGAAGCTCAGCCGGTGTCCCTCGGACGCTGATATTAGTACGTTGATCATTGACGACAATGACTTACAACGGCTCGATAATTTGGATTCTTATAACAGAATTACGAAGGTAACAGAATTATTAAAGTAATACACAGTTTCTGTTTTCATTTTTATCAATATAGATTAACTTTAATCCTGATTTAACTTACTCTTTATCTTTTTCCCTAGTTCTACGAATTAGGAAAAGACAAAGAATATATTAAATTGAGATTAAAGCTCATCTATATTGATAGAAATGGATATTCAAGTCAAAATTATTATTGGAAGATTATTAGTAAACTTATTAATTTGTTTCTGTAATCATAAAGTTTTGGAGCATAATGATATTTCTTAGTTTTGTGCTCTGTCCCTATACTAAGTTATTTTTTCATCATTTCTTTATTTAAGATATTTTAAAACTAGATTTTATATAGAATAAAAAGATGAACGACATAAAATTACAACAATAATTTGCAGAATTATAACTTGAAGTTATTTTGTGAATGTGATGTGTAAAGACAATTTGTCATGTTCAAATACATATGCATTCTACAGTTCTATTGCTTTCAGCTTTCGATAATCAGAAACCAATTACTACGGATGTATGGTGTGTCAAAGTTACATAATCTTGTTACCCTTAATTTGGCAAACAATGGTATACTCACAATAGAAGGTATCAAGGACATGATTAATTTGCAGACTCTCTGTTTAGCGGGTAATAATATTAAGGTACGATATACATGTTACATTATGTAAGATTACATGATTGTATAATTGTAGCAATATATTGTAATATTACTATTATATAATAACGATATGTTATAGTCTATTGAACATTTACATACAAATACCAAATTGGAGCATCTGGATTTGTCTGAAAACAGCATCAGCCATGTTTCAGATATATCTTATCTGCGAAATTTAAAGGTATTATTTGTTTGTTTAATTTGTATTTTTACATAAAATTGGTATGCATCGATCATTAAATGCTTTATTAATTTGTTGCTTTATTTGATAGAATGAGTTTACAATCGGTGTGTTTCTCGTATTTTTGTAAGATAAATAACATTTTAGGAACTCTTTTTGCATAACAATCGCATAATAACACTACGTCAGTGCGAGCGCTACTTGCCCACATCCTTGGAAACATTCACATTAGCGAATAACAATATTACTGACTTAAATGAAATGTCACATTTGGCTAATCTAAAAAATCTGGTCAATTTCTCAATTGCTAACAATCCGTGTGTTAGTATAACAGGTAACAGTATGTATCCTTTTTGCAAATCATTATGCGCGTTATTATTCCATCTAGAAATTAGCAGACCTCTTTCTTGATGTTATTTTTTAATATTAATAGCACAAAGAATTTTATTGTTGCTGATATGGTATTATAGTATTTCATCTTTTTAATTATCAAGCGTTAATTTTTGCCGATTAAATATTGCTTCCATGGTTACTAGACATAAGAAAATTAGTTCATATTAATCGTAGCATTGTTACAATAGCATATTATTCTTAACAAATGGTCTATAGTGGATTTGACTATCGGCCTTTTGTTATTAATTGGTGTATGAGCTTAAAATCAATCGACGGTTATGCGGTTGATCCTATTGAAAGGTGGGTTTTCTAAAAAATACATTCTTACATAGTTAATGTTGTATAAAAATTAATCCGTTGAATTTTGACGAGATCGAAACTGATTGGCAATGACTCACTTTACTTAGCTTGAAAGCAGAGTGGCTGTATTCTCAGGGACGAGGTAGACAATTCCGCGTTGGTGAACATGCCTTACTTGCTCAATATCTTGCGTCCGTCTGTCCACTTTCGGGCGAATCCTTAGAGAACGAGACGGACCGGAAACTTAGACTTATACTGAGCAAAGCTCAACATCACCAACAGCAGTTGAATCAACAGAGCGATACCGGGAGCGTGCACAGCTTGAGTAGCGTGACTATGAGTCCTTCCCCAGCCGCTAGACGTAGACTTAGCCATAACAGGACAAATTCTCCCAGACGACCTAGTGAGTCCAAATAAATCCATGTTTTTGCATAGTGCCATACCAAAGACTGGAATGAATTCGTTTTTTTTTTCGAGGATTCTTAGAATTAGGTTTTGTATTCGTTAGTTGCGACAAGTGGACTAGTAGTAATTTAGATTGTCCAGTTGTCAAGTTCTTCAGTACATACACCCTAGTTATGATCTGTTTTCTCTAGTGCCAATGTTGACATACTATGAAGATAAATACTTACAATCACCAAAATTTTATGAAGCAAAATACTGTGTCTGCCATATTCCTTGCAAAGGTATCCAAGGTCTCATATTGAGGATTTATCATATATTGAATAAAATCACATTTACATATGATAGGAATGTGTAAGAATCTGAGGAAAAAATTTTGTGTGTGTTAAGACTCGTGTTTTTAATAGCACAATTATATATTTAATAACGCAAATTAAATAAGTAAAACTTGTATAATTTGTTTTTAATAATCTTTTTACATAAATTATATGTATATTAATATTGCATTATTATTAAGTGTATATAAATTTTTTTGTTATTCTTATTATATTTTATTTTTCCTATATATCACTTTTAACAAATCTATTATTCAATTATTTATTATACGATTGAAACATATAAGAATTAATTGATCTGGATTCATGCACATGCCTATAGTTCTCTCATGCATAGTACTTTACAAGCAATTGCTTCCTTAGGCTTATAGTGCAAACAACCCTTGGCCGATGAAAGCAGTAAAAATATCAACATGAAGGCGCTGTATTTAGAAGATTTAGCATATTAGTATAGGATAAATTGGAAAGATGTTCACGTTTCTTTTTTTAAATAGCATTTAATTTCGATTAGTAGACTATACATATATACTGTTTGTGCATGTTTTGCTAGCAATGCTAGCATCAGAAATTATCCAAACACAAATTTTATAAATATAATAAAATTCATTTATTGCACAATAAGCGTTGATTATAGCGTCAAACAATATTTTTGTCAGCTTCCTCAAGGAATTCCTTGAAAATGAAATCACCAGACCGAATGGTATCCAGCTGTCATACTGATGCTATGGTTTCTTCGTGTCATGGTTTATTGAGCGGTGATCATGAGTCGACTTTGATGACCCAAAGTTTAGATCCTAATATACTGTCTGGTATGGCATTAAGTAACAAAATGTCAAACAATAGTTTGCAGGACATGGAAGGTAAGACAGATATATGATTGATTGAGTTAGATTAAACGCGCAGAATTATATAGATTATAACAAAAGATATTTTGTCCAGAGACATCAAGTCCTCTGCAAGCAGCTACGAAACTACTACCAGTACCAGAGTCTCTGATGAGTCCAGATTTTCGTCCACCATCTGGCCTTTCACGGATTTTACCGAAAACTCCCACATCAAGTAAATTAAGCTCTCCCTGTCAAGTCACGATACCTAGTAAACCATCCATGGACGGCGATGGAAAGGCAATTCCCATCATAAACACTGTTAATCCAATGGCAAAAACGAATCTAAGCTGTATAAAGGCAAATGCGCTCGTGAAAAGTAGTTCCGCGACAAATTGCAGCGTCATGAGACCAAATATAGCGAAACCGATTGTGACATATGCTAATAGTAAGTGTCCACACAGCGTGAAGATTAATAATTATGTTCAAAGCAAGACTTTGCCCGCGAAGAGAAGCACAAAGAGTCCCAATTTAGCTAGAAACATACAGCGACCGAAGAGCGTGAATGAGAGACTCAAGAGCAATTTGAACAAAGACGAGAGAGATGGCGATGCTGGAATTCAGAGCAGCGACGAGGATAGTGAAGTGTGTCAAGCGAAATTGGATAGCATTCGTCATAGGGCTATTCAAAGAAGACAAGAAGACAGTAACAAAGGTACACTGAAAAAAAAATTCACGAAATTTGATTAAATATTTGTTTAGATAGTACCAATGGGACCATTTACTTACAGTAAATAAATATTTGTTCAATTCAAAAAAATTATACTTAACAATAATAAGATTGAAAGACCGCTAATGTTAAACATAATAATTTTAAATTAAGAAGCGCCATAACGGTCAGAACGTTAAGATGTTGAACTATTGTAAATTCATTTAAATGAATTAATTTCAGAAATGATAATTGCGTGCCGATATGGTTGTCGGACTTTCAAAATCTGAAAATATTAATAATCCCCCCAAATTCCCCAACTTAAAAACTGTAATAAAACTTATTGCGAAAAATAATGCCTCGGCCGGGAGTCGAACCCGGATCTCTTGCATTTCGTGCGAGGGTCCTAAGCCTTTAGACTACCGAGACATTGATTGCGTTGAAAGTCCGACAACCATATCGGCACGCAATTATCATTTCTGAAATTAATTCATTTAAATGAATACATTCTGACCGTTATGGCGCTTCTTAATTTAAAATTATACTTAAATTTAAGTATCATTTTTTAAAATCAAATAAATATTTATTTTCTGTAAGCAAATGGTCCCATTAGTACTATCTAAATAAATATTTAAATTTCGTAAATTTTTTTTTAGTGTAAAACATTAAAAATATTAAATGCAAGTATATTGATAATTAACATTTCATTCTCTATTCAATATTTTCTTGCAGATCAAGATCAAACAGAGAAGGCTGCTATCTGTATTCAAAGACTGTGGCGAGGCTATCATACAAGAAACCTTAATAAAAAAGCTACTAGTATATTAAAAACGATTGACATGATAAGAACGAATAAATACATCCAGTAAGATTTCATTTCTTTCATGCATAATTTATTTATAGAATAAAAAAAATGTATACACGTATATAAAATATTTTACAGGAAACTGTCGACAGATATGGAAGCCACGAGAACCGCATTACAATTATTGCAAATGCAAGCGATTAATGCATTGTGGAAGAAAGTAGTCAGTCTACAACCGGGCGGCAATCGAGAAAATACTTTCAGTGATACGGAAAACACCTTGCAACCAAATGCGGATGTAGTAAATAATCTCGCGCAAACGTGCAATCTGCTTCATACCCAGGTAAGTTTTAGAAAAGATTTCTATATTTTGCCAAAGGAAAGTAAAATTTTTTTTTTATTTAAAAAAATCTTTTATCAGGTTCAACAATTACAAGACTCGATGACCGAGATAAAGCGTTGCATGTCCAGCATGAAGCCAAAGTCCGCTCTTGTCGATAATGGTGTCGCCACTCAAACGGAGATATCTGCCGTGCATACGCCAGCAGGTGAAGAAAATACGTTTCCCTATGGACGTCCTAATAGACCGCAAAGTCTGCCGATACATCAAACGATACACGAGGGAAACGAGAATAAGAGTTTTGCATCGAATTTGGTGGATAGTGTGCTGAAGAAAGTGTCGCAGTCCACTGATACGACGGATGACGAAGTCAATACAGATATTTTGAATTCAAACGAAAATCCCGAAGTATTGAATTCAAACGAGAATCCCGAGATGTTCAAGAGTTGCGAAGAGATAATAGAATCCGACCTCAAGCAAGCGGTTGAGAACGAGACGGACAACTATGAAAATATAATCGAGAATGCGGCGATTGATGGTGAAGTATGTGAGGAAACGCTGTGTAAGGAGCTACATAATTTGATTGAAACGGAAAATGGAACAGATGCTTACGGAAACTGCGCGGACAATGCAGTTAATGGGGACGACAAGGAAGTCTGCTAGATTTGACATTGTCGAATCAAATTCCGCCATATGCCTTGTGAGTAACGGTATGAAGCGAGAGAAAACGAAAAAAATGCTCACTGTAAATAACAAAAAGTAATTCTATTTGTAAGGATATTATAAAACGGAATGTAATTTTAATCGTGAACCGTTTTATTACAAAAAAGATACTTCGATCACGAACAACAAGCTGCCATTCTGACCGAACAAAGTATCTATGTAGCTTAAGTAAAACAGATTGATATGAGCAGTGCAGTATAAATGATAGCAGCGAAATTATATTATTAAATATACAACGTTTATTAGCTTGTGCAACATTTGTTTAATTGTTTATACATGTATTCTGTGAAAAACATTCGCATTATGTATTTGTGTATTATCATAAGGAATCTTAGAAATTTTCCGTCCGACTATTGACGGTAATACATAACGATCGCATAAAACATACATCATAAAGTTTATCAAACTGGCCATTGGAGAACCGTTCCCGTAAACATTCCACTTATTTTATCTATAACTTTCTTACCTCAATAGAATAATTTTACATTATTCCAGGAAATTATATTTCATATTTTAAGAAAAATTATTTTTTTTTTTAAATTAAAACATCTGCATCAAATATATATTTATTATTATGATTATACCTATGATTATATTATATATAATAAAATATAGCTCTCTCTACTTTATCAGTTTCTAGCTCTCTTTCACGTAAAATTTCATAGTTATTTATTTATTTATTCATTTATATGCAAAGAAGCGTTACTTTTAATATACAGTAGATATATTAAAGTTTTGAGAAAGGATAGCGCAAAAAGAAAACATGTTTTGAATCTAGTCAATATAGAGTAGCTTTTACATTTAGATACATTGTAGATATTTCAAAGAGAATTGTTACATAGATATTACTCAATGTTATGAAATAAAACAAAACGCGTTCATTTGAACCTATTACATCGTTAAACAGCATGATTGAAAATGTAACTGCATTTTTTAAATTATCGGTTCCATGATTATTGATATAATTGTGCGATAAATACTTAATTGTTGATTGAACAATTATATTCTGCGATCTACGCACACACACACGCGAGCTTAATAAATTAATATTATATATCAGCTCTGCAGCATATTATTCTATACATATACAATTGAATCTCCGTATTTTTATTCTCAATCAATTTTCCTGCTTTAATGTTGCTTCAAATTTGCGACGTAATCACGCATGCAAAAAATTAAAATATTGTATGCAAGATAATTCTAAATCAATTTGAAGTTGGAATAAACAAACGGAGATAGGTATGACTGAAATTTTGCTCATTTTGAGGTATTTTCGAAAATTTATCTTAATTATTAGAAAAAAAATATTTCGTCAAAAGGTAGCATGAACTATTCATGATTTATTTTGTTCTCCTAAAATAAGTTATTTTATCTCTTATACATTATGTTTTAATATCGAAAATTGATATTCAAATTTACAACTTATTTTAATTTGATTCAATTTTTCCAAATAATTTTTCAAAAGAAAATTTTAGTTTTAGTTCGTGCTATCTTTTGCCAAAATATGTTCTAATAATTTTGGCGATATTAAGGATTGAGTTATTGATATTGAAACACTATATCTGATAAAAATTATAAAAAACTACTCGATAAAACTTCCATACAAAATTCGGTATAGATTTTAAAATATAATTATTCCATTCATTTTTATATGAAAAATTTTATTGATACATTTTCCTAAATTTTCAAATATTTGTTTCAAGTTAATATTTTTGGAGTGTGTTAAAAAAATTTTGTTTTACAAATATATGATAAGGAATAGAAAAGGATAGAATATGAAAAGGATAGAAAAATGTGCTTAGCTTAAATTTATATTTTTGTGATTTTTCGATACATATATGACACCAAAATAATTTCTTAATTTATAACGGGTTGGATAGATATACTCGTGAAATAAGAATATAGAAATATAATTGCAATATATTGTATTTATTTCATATTCCCTAATTCATATAAATTATACACAAAGTAGTATAGTCTCTTACGATTATGCATTATTTACACATTGCATTTTAAATTTATAGCTAATTATTTTAAAAAAATATATATACAGCCAGAGTTAAACATATGTTATTGCCTGAATATTAAAAATTTATGAGGTAATTTTTTTGCTTAGTTTTATTGCGCTTTTGATAAAAATATATTTAAAAAAATATATATAAATACTTATATAATTAATATCTTTATACATTTATCGTTAATAATAAGTACTGACACATTGTACATTGTTATATGACACATTGACTATTGATTTCAACATTGATTAAAATAATTGACTGAAATTGACAATGAGTTATTTAAAAAGGAAAAAAATTATTCGTTAAAAGTCATTCGTTTTTTTTTCCACATGGCTCTTGTATTAATAAGAAGAGATCGGATTTTCTGATCTTGTATTAACCCTTATGAATTTCAAGAAATAGTAAATTAATTCAATATTGTTTATATTATATCGATGTTGATGCAATTTAACATCTAAAAATAAAAACGTAAAAATTTTTATCATTTTATTATATATATAAAATTAAAATCATAAAAGCATATTTAATGAAACATTCTTTGATACGTAGTTTTTTCTAATTCTAAATAAAAGTTTTCCATCTTTTTTACTTTTTTTATTTCCTTTAAGATAGTCTTGTCAGGACACAGCTGAAACACCTGAAACAAATCTTTTAATCCTAATTTATATTCGTTCAAGGAAGTATAAGCTTGTCCTCTTCGAAATAATGCTTTACTATTCGTGTTATCCGTTTCCAGAACCTAAATTAATATGTGTTAAGGCATAAATATGTTACTTCTGATTTTCTCACGGAATATTTACTTACCTCATTACAAAGATTTATGACTTTACGATACTCTTTCTGCTTTAATCGTACAGCAGCTAAATTAAGTAACAAAGTTAATCTAAGATCCACCAGTGAAGTATAAAATGTATCTGACATATTTTTCTGTCGGTTCATCCAGTCGTAATATCGTAATGCTTTCCTATACTTTCTATTAGCATCTACGTAATTTTGCTTTGTGAAATAACTATTTCCAGAATCTTTTATCTTCGTTATTACATCTTCCATGAATTTGTGCTAAAAACGTAAATATATTCAAATTAAGGTATAATTTAGCATATCAGTACGTAAATAATAATTTTCAGAAATGATACACATATATATGAATGATAATTTACAGTGAGCTTATTAACATCTTGAGAATAATCCCAATCTTCTGGCCATGGTGTATAAACATCCTCAGATCCATCGTTCTCCTCTAATCCCCAATTTTCATCTTTTTTCAACTCTCCACAGTCAACTATACTTATTTTCTAAAAACAAATCAATCATGAAACTAAACTGTTACAGGTCCAGGAAGCTATTAGCTTTGTAATTTAAAGAATAGCCTTACATCAACTGGAATGTCCTTTTCAGTCGGTACTTTACACAGCTCTAACACTGCACCCATGCCTTTTACAATTTTTCCAAATACTACGTTAGTGTTATCCAGGTGCGTGGACGCTTGAACGGTAATGATAAATTGAGAACTGTTGGTGTTTGGCTTCCCCTCGTTCACCATGCTAAGTAGTCCAGAGAAGTTGTGCTTCAATTTAAAGTTCTCATCGTCAAAGTAAGGACCGTAAATACTTTCCCCACTGGTTCCATTGAAATTAACAATATCACCACCCTGGATCATGAACTGTGAAATGACTGCAGCAATATAATATTATATATGTATGATAACTGTATGTATAAATGTGTATGTCTTAAGAAATCTCTCTCTCTCTCTCTCAATTTCTATTCTGTTTTTAAAAGAAACAAAAAGAATAAATGATCCACATTTTCAAAACACCTGTTTTTTATCGTACATTACACTAGATTGTATTAAAATTTTTATTTCGTTTTCGCTAAATTTAGAAAAAATATATATATCCGTTTCATTTTAAGTACAATTAGTATATATAATATAAAGAATAGACCTCTAAACTGTGGTGACTCAAACAAAATTGTACATGTATGTGGCTTGATTCACGTTCACAAAGCTCTTGGAATCATTTTATCCTTAGGTTTATCGCGTCACATACTCCAACATGCTCCTATCATAGTTCTTACTTACTTCAATATTGGAGTGAGTAGAAGCTGTGGTAGGTGTATATTGGAGCATGCGACACGAACAAATCTCTTATCGATTATCAAATGTTACGTAGGTTTTACAGTGAGTCGATAATCGGAAGTCCTAAGTGATCCTAAGTTTTAATCAGTGAAATTGGCCAATGATATAGCCAACTTGAACGACTAAAGTTAAGACTTTCAATTACCAATTTCTCTTGTAGAACCACATTTTAAGCAAGACAAATGATGCAGCCTATGATAGTCAATTGTCAAATCAAACTTTAACTCTATTTACTCTAAAAAAGAAAGAAATAAATGATTTATATTTCCAAAACCTGAGGCAACAAATATGTATATGTGACAAATGAATATCATAATAAATTAAATTTGGGTGCTTAATTCCATTTATTATGTCTTTTTCTACTAATGTAGATTAACTTTAATCTCGGTTCAACTTGCTCTTCATTTTTTTTCTAATTCTTAGAACTAGAAAAAGATGAAGAGTTTGTTGAACTAAGACTAAAATTAAATTATATTAGTAAAAACGAATATTAGTGACACAATTTGATACAAACATCAGTCTATCTTTCTTGACATTCAATAAGCAACAAAGATAAAACACACTGTGTTGACTTATATTAATATTTATATTTAAATATTTAATTTCTATTCTCATCAGCAAAAGAATTCTAATTCTATCCAGCTTCAAAAAGATAAATAAGGGTCATACAAGTATTCAAGATGGCAAGGTTTAGAAATATTTTATAGGCCTTAAAATTATGACAAGGAATAAAATTGTAGGGAATTGAACACTCGTGATCACGGTATTGCGCACCTTTGTGAAAGGTAGTTCCTTTGTAATGTAGTTTTGGAGCCTTCAACCCGGCACCTTTCTCGCCGGTGCACAGAACACGAAAATTCTCCGCAGTCCGTGGCACGACATTCTTGAACAGTTCTATAACAACTCTTCCCACTGGAAAACAATAAGATCGTGAGCCGGTGTTTGCACCGTGCATAACCTCGCTGTTGATACCTTTTTCGGGGCCGATCGCCACATCTAGAAAAACCACGGGATTATCCTCATTAATGAGCAAACTGCTCTTATTTTCTTCCGAGGGTTGTTTCATATTATTTCCTTCTCGGTACGATTATCGCGATAAGATTCTTATCCCGTAAACTTGACGTACACGATGTTCGTGTGAACGCGAATATTACTCGCACTTGTCGGTTGTTGTCTTTATTCTTGGGGAATCCTGGGTTGCTTGATACACACCTGTTCTCGAACAATACGTTAATGAGTTAATCATTGGTGATAATATCTTGACATATGGAAACTTAATCGCAGCAATTCGATTGATTTGTGAAAGAT